CACAGGACCCCAAGCCCATGAAATGATGTCATCCCTCCAAGGCACACCAAGATGTGTGTTTCCTAGGGAATTTTAAACTTCTTTGAATTGACAGTGAGGTACCCAAACCTGTTAATTTTAAATATTAATGTTTTACTCTTTTATCTTGAGATGGCTGTAAGGCATTGAGGACCAGAAGTAAAGCAATACAATGGCACTGAGCAAACATTCCCATTCCAGAAGAGAGGAATAGGGATGTGTTAGCAAGGAAAGATTAGATGAAAGCCAGACTGAAACTGCAGTTGATGACACCATATGTATCCAACAAGCTTGGTAGTTGTACCCCTCAGCTCTGATGCTTTGGCTGTATGTAGCTCTATCTTGAGTCAGTTTTACTCCATGTCTAAAGCTTTCCTTGGCTGATGTTTCTGGCATCTCCAATATACTTGAGGTCACCATTGCAAGTTGGCATCACCTCCATAACTTCATAAAATGGCTTCTTGGGGCCTTATTGCAGGAAATCTGACCCTGCCACACATTACCTGGTTTCATTGGCTTTCTGAAACCTTGGTGGAAGACTGTATGTACACCTCTCTAGAGTGTTTTCTGCATTTTATGGTAGAGCAGCAGTTCTCAGTCTGTAGGTTCTGACCCCTTTAGGGGTCACATATCAGATATCCTGCATATCTGATTTATAACCATAGCAAAATTACAGTTATGAAGTAGCATTGAAAATAATTTTATGGTTGGGGTCACCACAACATGAGGAACTGTATTAAAGGGTTGCAGCATTAGGAAGGTTGAGAACCACTGGTCTAGAAACTGCTTTTTGGGCATTATCCTTTCAAATAATGTTTTTCAACCTAGTTTTCAGTTTTATAGCCTGGAGCCTTTCCTAGGTAGGGTCTTTTCCTCGATACCATATAGAGTTTAAGATTTTCCTTAATTGCACAAATTTCATTACACTTCTAGCTCCTTTTCTTGTCAAACTGTGTGTTTATGTCCTTAACTTTTTAAGATTTTTTTATTATGTATACAGGGTTCTTCCTGCATGTATCCTACAGTACAGAAGAGGCACCAGATCTTATTACAGATGGTTGTGAGCCACCATATGGTTGCTGGGAATTGAACTCAGGACCTCTGGAATAGTAGCCAGTGTTCTTTACCTCTGAGCCATCTCTCCAGCCGCCTGTCCTTAAATTTTTTTGAGGCAGAATCTTACATAGCCAAGGCTGACTCTGAACTGCTGAGTCTCTTGGCTCTATCTCCCAAGCATTAGAATTATAAACATGAGCCACTATAGCCAGTTAAAACTTAAACCTGGTTGATGCTCTTTTCTTCACCAGACTGTACCCTTTCCATGTCTTATATGTTTTGTGCTTTCTCAATAGATTAATGCAATAAGTAATGACCATAGTAAGTAGTAAGTATACTACAGCCTAGAGGTTATGCTGACTTCAGATTTCCTCCAAGCAACTTAGCTCTTAACTTTTGAATTCAGCCTCACTCAAATGATCAGGTGGGCAGAAATGAGCCAGATTATTTTGCCAGAAGGTAAAACGGCCTTTAGTCCTTGTACCTAGCTGAGATCTTCTTGACCAGGACAGTATTGTTCACATTTTTGTCTGTAGTCTTTTATTCCACATTCCCACCAGAATATGCTGTTAAGCTTTACTTCAGCACTCAATCAAACCCTTCCAAATTCTTCCTGCAAACCACCTCCAGATGCCTACAGATTTGTGTGATCAGGTATTCACAGCAGTGGCTCCACTTCTGGGTATCAACTTTATTACTTTTCTCTTGTTGCTGTAACAATACCTGACATGAGGTTTATCTTGGAGATACAGTTCATCACAGTGGGCAAGGCATGGCAGTGGGGAATATGAGGCTGGTCATGTTGTGTCAGGGAAGTAAAGAATACTGATGTTCAACTTGTTTTTTCCTTTTGCCCTTTTTATTCAGCCCGAGACTCCAGCCTGTGTGATCATGGTGGTGATGTAAACCTATGTGAGAACTTCCTGAAGGAGAGCATTGTCCAGTCCTTTTGCAAAGGACACTATCTCTAGATAGGGAGAGACTCTCTGCTCCAGGTTTGGCCTTGAACTTGTAAAGTTCAGGGTTTGTGACTTGATCTTTTCAGGTCAGGACATCAATGCCAATTAAACCTACTGGTTGTTAACTATTTTCCAGCACTCCAGTACTTCCTAAACATTTTCTTCCCAAAGTGGGAGAGGGATGGAAAGAGAGTTAGAAGTTAGAGCCCTAGCATTTTAAAATGGGTACTAAGGCCAGTGATTGCTTAGTGGTCCATCCTCTAGATGCAGGCCTAGATGACATTTAGTTCTTTAGGACCTACACCCCACTTATGCAAAAGGACTGTCTGTTCAGGTTTCCTTTAGTTTTAGGGACAAGCGAGAATTCCCCCAGGACTTGCTGCCAGGTGTGTGTCACTGCTCATGGCACATACTGTGTTGCTGCTATACTACTAGACTTTGCTAGTACCCAAACCGTAGTTCCTTTCTGCCTTTGTAAGATGTGGATAATGCTTCCTGCCACTTGGGTTGTGGTGAGGACAATTAAATGAGGTCACCTTTGTATCTGGTACCTGGCATGGGGCAAAGCACTCAGCTAATATGAGTTCATCCTTCCTGTCTTCCCTGCATAGCTGCCTAGTCTTGCTTGTATCTTTGCTCTGCTGTACACATTGCCAGGCTCTGACCATCTCTGATGCTTAGAGGCAGAAATGACTTTCTCATCCAGTTATCAGGCATTTCTGGAGGTTTTGGGGTATTAATACTTAACTCAAGCGCCAGCCTTAATGTCAGAGTAAGGTCTCTTTCCGTTTCATAAAAGCAAGGGAGTGTTCATCTGTTTTGCAGTGCCACTCATATTGTGTGTAGTCATTGTCTATTTCTCTGCCCCTCCCCTAGTTTATCAAGACAGAGACAAATCTCTTTCATTTTTCAGTCCTCTCACTGTCCAGTTTATGGTGACTCATATTTTGGGAGATGATTAACTAGAAGCCCCATTTCTCCCCTCATCCTTTTTTCTATCTTCCTCCCATATTTGGGAGGATGCTGTTCTCCCTCTTAACTCTCCCCTTTATCAGGTGTGGAGTTAGAGTTAGAAGTTCCTCTTCTGGAAACCCCTTGATGGTCTAGGCTTTGTGGTTCTGGGAAATGGCTGACAGTGTGAGCAAGGATGAACTTGGAGTAACTAGCTAGTATACTAGTGCACAGACTCCAGGGTGGGAGGAGCACCTGGGCTACTGGAAGGTTGTGCATAAACAGGTGTGTTTGTGCTGCCCAGGGAAGCACATTAAAGGCTTATAGGTGCGTTTGTCATCTCTGCAAATGAAGCCACACCTTCCTGATGTGGTGGGACCTGAGGGTGAGGCTGGCTAGGTCTTCTCTTGTCCTTCTTCATTCTCTGTCAAGCCACCACCTAAGACTTTCTGAGGGTATCTCTATTGTACATCATCTCTTTATGCTGGTCTCTTCTCTTTTATGTTTAGTAACCACTAAACCAGTATATGTTATTACAGAGCCTCTTTAGGTCCTGACTAAAGTCCTGAGTTCTTGACAGATGTGTCAAGTACATCAAATGCTTCCCATGTTTATAGCTGGTATGACAAGCTTAGGCAGCTTCCTACAACCAGGAAACAGTACAGTAATGAAGCTGGCTGGGTTGAAAACCAGGGCTTTTTTACAGATCGCGTTCCAGGACAGCCAGGACCTCACAGAGAACCCTGTCTCCAACAATCAATAACAACAGAAGAAAACCAGGTCTTTAAACCTCCAGTTACTGTGCCCACTCTGCCAGAGAGCTCTCCTGTTTTTTTATGGGATGGAGTATACCCATTGCCTGTAGTGGGGTACAAAAATGGCCCTTTTAGCAGGGATCCTATAAGTTCCTCAGTAGGGTAATGCCCCCTAGGAATAGGCTTCACATTCTGTTGTACAGCCCTGTTGCTGGGTCAGGCTGTCTGCTTCTGGCAACCAGTAGAGGGCAGGAGGAGCCTGAGAAAGATCTGCTTCTGCTTCATTTTGAAATGGAAATGTCTTAAGCTGTCAAGGTCATTACTATTATTTTAATTTGGAGGTATGAGTTTGTATAGGTTCACTTAACCAAACCTTTGGGATCAAATGTAATTTGGAATTTAGAAACTATTCAGAATTTGGCAAAGTCTCCTGGTGTTTATACTTTGATTATATAATACTTTAGCAGAGGTTAGAGCAGTACCTCAGGATCACATGCCTGAATGTTTCTTTGTGACAGTGTTTCAGTCTTCACCCTCAAGTAGGCCATCTGGTTGTATGTCAGTTCTCTTCAGGTTATGATGGGACATTAGATTAAGACTTTGGGATTTCTGTATTGTTTGAAGTCCCTTGATGTTTAAAACATTTAGGGATTTGGAATTTTAGATGAAGAATAGTGAATCTTATTGGGAAAGGAGGTTAAGAAAAATCACCTATAGCATAGCATGAATACTTAGGATTATATTTTATTGTCTACTTTTTTCCATTTTGTACTATACATATGTAGAGACTTGTGTAAATGTACATGTAAGTGTATTTGGACACACTTGATATCATAGTTGGCTCACTTTCTGCCTTACAAAATATATTTTAGAATTTCCCAGATGTTTATAGGCTTCTTTAGCATCTTCCCTGAGTGAACTTGATAGAGAACCACATTCTTCATTTAAGGACTTAGGGGGTCCAGGCCTCTGGCTGCCTGGGCCAGGTCTTGCAATATCTAGAGCAGGGATCTGAAAGCAGATGAAGTTTCTATTTCTAGGGGATCTGGGACCTCTCTGGGATTAAGTCTTGTTCTTGTCCAGTGACTGAATCTCTTGCATTTTGGTTACAGAGTAGTCAAGAAGGGCTGTGAATTTCCCAGTATCCTTTTTTGCCAATCATCAGGCCTCTCAGGAATTGAGGACAGGATCCTGGGGAAGAGGTACAGGCTTCCCTGGGTATGGGTTTTCCCTGTTGCTGACCTCCCACTGTTTCCTCCAGCAGGAACACTGGTTTGAAAAGGCCTTACGGGACAAGAAAGGCTTCATCATCAAACAGATGAAGGAGGATGGTGCCTGTTTATTCCGGGCTGTAGGTGAGTCTCTGCCTTGGTCCTGCGGGCTGTGGGGCTTTAAAGATACCTCTGAGCTGTGTCCCTGTTGTCAGCAGCCCCTGAGACAGAATTTCAGCAGAGTTAACTAGTTGGTATTTTAGGATAGCCAGGCATGAACCTAATGTTAGCGTTTGGCCTCTTGTCATAGATTGTGTTGAGTGAATAATAACAGCAATAGTAGTGATAAAGTGACATCACTTAGAGACTTAACACTACTGGAAACCCATCCATCCATCTATCCATGTTTTTGTTTGTTTTTGAGACAGGGTTCTCTGCATGTAGTCTTGGCTGCCCTGTAAATCATACTAGCCTTGAACCTAGAGATCAGCCTACCTCTGCCTCCCAAGTGCTGGGATTAAAGGGTTGAGCAGTCACCACCTGGCATGGAAACCCCAGCACCCCCCGCCCCTTTTCTTTGTTTTTCAGGATAGGGTTTCTCTGTGTAGCTCTGGAGCCTGCCATGGAACTCAACTCTGTAGACCAAGTTGGCCTCGAACTCAGAGATCCAACTGTCTCTGCCTTCCGAGTGCTGGGATTAAAGGTGTGCGCCACCGCCTGGCCTGGAAACCCTTTTATTATCCCACAGTGTAGGTGAATGTGGGGACTGATGTTGCTTCTACTTGTCAGATGAGAAAGGTGTCTCAGAAGTGGGAAGTGGCTTGCCTAGGGTTACACAAAAAGTATGTGGTAGTCAGGATTTTATATCTAGGTTAACCATATTACGTTGTCACTTTGGTATGTAAGAGTTTGTACCCAGAGTTTTCTGTGGTGTGGTGTGGTGTGTTGGGGAAGGTCTCTATTCTGTGTTTGTGCTTGTGCCTCTTTTGTGAAACTGGGCATGTTGAAGCACGCCCTTAATCCCAGCATGCAGGAGGCAGAGGCAGGTGGATCTCAGTGAGTTCAAGGTCAGCCTGGTCTATGTAGCGTGTTACAAGCCAGCCAAGTATATTTTGTCTTGTTTAAAAAAAAAAAACCTAGATCTTTATAGGTTTCTATATTAGGGTTTTTTTTTCTTTTACCTTGCACAAAAGTAGAGAAAATAGTGAGCCCTTTCAGACTCTTCATCTAGCTTCAAAAAGTCATTAACACAGCTGGGTGGGGGTTGCACAAACCTTTAATCTGGGAGGCAGACATGGGCAGATCTCCGTGAGTTCGAGGCCAGCCTGTCTACAGAGCAAGTTCCAGGACAGCGAGGACTGTTACACAGAGAAACCCTATCTCAAAAAAAGAAACCACACACACACACACTCATTAACACACAGATAGATAGCCTTACTTTATAACTACCCTGCCCACTCTTTCTCACTTCCCTGAAGCAGTGTTTTTACAGTACAACTTAACACAGGATCATTTCATTCATAAATATTTCTGTTGTTTTTTGGTTTTCGAGGCAGGGTTTCTCTGTAGCTTTGGAGCCTGTCCTGGAACTCTGTAACCCAGGCTGTCCTCGAACTCACAGAGACCTGTCTACCTCTGCCTCCCAAGTGCTAGGATTAAAGGCGTGAGCCACCACCACCTGGCTTCTGTATGTTTCTTTAACAGATGTGTCTGTATTGGTTTCTTTTTTTTTTTTTTTTTTTTTTTTTTTTTTTTTTTAAATATTTATTTATTAATTTATTGTGTATGCAATATTATGTCTGTGTGTATGTCTGCAGGCCAGAAGAGGGCACCAGACCCCATTACAGATGGTTGTGAGCCACCATGTGGTTGCCGGGAATTGAACTCAGGACCTTTGGAAGAGCAGGCAATGCTCTTAACCGCTGAGCCATCTCTCCAGCCCTGTATTGGTTTCTGTACAGCTGTCAAAACTAGAAAAATTCTTTTTTTTTGAGACAGTCTCACTCTCTAGTCCAAGGTAACCTGAAACTTGGAATAATCCTGTTTCAGCCTCCTAAGAGCTAAGATTATAAGTGTGAGACACTATTTACAGCTAAGAATTAGTAATTTTTTTTTCAAGATTTATTTGTTATGTATACAGTGTTCTACCTGCATGTATACCTGCATGACAGAAGAGGGCACCAAATCCCATTATAGATGTTTGGTAAGTTACCTTGTGGTTACTAGGAATTGAACTCAGGGCCTTAACCTCTGAGCTATCTCTCCAGCCACCAAGAATTAGTCATTTTTTGAGACTGGGTCTCTGTTAGTCCTGGCTGTTCGGTCTGTGTAGACCAGGTTGGACCCAAACTTTGAGATCCACCTGCTTCTGCCTCCCAAGTGCTGGGATTATAGACATGTACTACTGTGCCAGGGTGGAATTAATAATTTCTAAATATTGTCTACTAAGCCTGAGCTAGATCTTTGAGTCCCTTGTGGCTATGAATCTTTGTCCAAACGAGTAAATGTGAAATCTCATACCAACTTGAAGGGAGACAGGAGTGTGACCTGTTCTCTTCCCGCACCAGAGGTTCTGTCTTCCAGGGAAAATTGCTGGGAAGCCAAAGATTTGACTTTTAGTTCTGGCCCAGTTTATAACTGCTGTGTGGCTCTTAGACTGTTTTCTGATCTGTGAAATGGTGGTGGTCCCAAGGACTCCTTGAGTTCTTTCTAGGTCTGTTTTTAGTTTCTGGATGACCCTCATGTCTGTTATAAGCTATACTGGATCAGGTACCACTCCTGGGCAAGTGATTCTTCTTTCTGGACCCTCTTTTATTAGCTGGAGAATTGATTAAAGGATTCTACTGTTCTGGCTTGATTTGCTTTGGTAAATCCCTTAATGCTTGATACATAATAAGTTTTTTTTTTTTTTTTTTTTTTTTTTTGGTTTTTCGAGACAGGGTTTCTCTGTAGCTTTGGAGCCTGTCCTGGAACTCCCTTTGTAGACCAGGCTGGTCTCGAACTCACAGAGATCCGCCTGTCTCTGCCTCCCGAGTGCTGGGATTAAAGGCGTGCGCCACCACTGCCCGGCGATACATAATAAGTTATCATGGAACAGTAGCACTAGTATTCTCAGTTGTGCCCCAGAGCCAGAAATATTTGTGGGATGGATTGACAAATGGCTGCTCACCCTCTACCAAGCAGAGACTATTCAGAAAATGGTGTCTGTTAATTGAGAGGACAATCCTAACTTTTCCTACTCTCTAGTTTGAAGTCATCTTCTCCCTGGACTACTCACTAGAGAAAGAACTTGCTTTGGAGGTATCTTGGGGATAAAGGGAAGGCAGAGAATGAAAAGGTGAGGAGGACCTAGTAGTTTCTAGGCCCTGTATTAACCTCAGGCTGGATGGAGGAGAGGCAAGATTACTGTTGGGCATATGGGTTCATGCTCACTGAAGAAGCTTGGGGCTCTTGAGGACCTGGTATGAATAGTACCTCACATCAAGAGCAATTTTTGTATGTATGTGTCTGTCTATCTAGCTCCCCCCTCCTCAATTGGGGCCTTCCAGTAAGGGGCCCAAGCACACAGGAAGAGCTGACCACAGCAGGTTAAAAGGCCTTTCCTTATCAGCACTATGGCTACACATTTCCCCTGACTGGGCTGCCCTCAGCTTTTCTCTGTAAAACCTCAAGTCCTATGGCCTCTCCCCTGAAGTACATGGTCCCTGGTCTCTAGGCCTCCTAGAGGTTTCCCTGGTGCAGAGTACACAATATGTGTGCCGGGGAAGGGGACTTTGTCCCCAGGCTTTCTGCTGTCCCCCTGTTTCTAGCCTAGCTTATACAGGGACAGATGGTCATCACCTTAGGCTTTGTACCAGGGCTTGCAGGCTTTAACTTCCTACCATGTATTAAATAGTGAAGGGAACATGTAATGGAGAGTTGGACTTGAGTGACTTGCCCACGTATATGGCACTTTGTTGTTGTTTCCCTGACCCTACTGTGTGCCATACATTCATCTGTGTGCTTCAGGCCCTCCTGAAAATTTTGGATCATTATCCCATGAAATAGAATCAGTTGAAGGTCTGAAAAGACGGCAGAAGGTATTAGCTCAGTAGTGGAGCTTTTGCCTAGCATTCAGGAGACCCTGGGTTTGATGCCCAGCACTACCAGGGATAGAAAGGGAAGTGACAATGGTAGAGTTTGCATGGAGGCATTTAGGTGTTCAAAGAATACACAGGAGGCCCCAGGGTGTTGATTGACCCTTTCACCTAAGACCATCAGAAAACACAGATATTTACAGTATAATTCATAACAGCAAAATTAGTTATGAAGTAGCAACAAAATAATTCTATGGTTAGGGAGCGGTCACCACAACATGAGGAACTGTGTTAAAGGGTCACAGCATTAGGAAGGTTGAGAACCACTGATCTAGCTTCTTAGTTTGTCTGTTCTTTGACATCTCTGGACTTTCCTTCTTCCAGCTAGAATTTATTCTTCCATTCTTTTTTTTTTTTTTTAAAGATTTTATTTATTTATTTATTATGTATACAACATTCTGCCTGCCTGAAGAGGGCGCCAGATCTCATTACAGATGGTTGTGAGCCACCATGTGGTTGCTGGGAATTGAACTCAGGACCTTCGGAAGAGCAGCCAGTGCTCTTAACCACTGAGCCATCTCTCCAGCCCTATTCTTCCATTCTTGAGAATCTTAGGCAGGTGGTTTTCTGCCCTTTGTTTTACCACTGACATTCTGACAACACTTTTGAACCAGTATCAATTGCTTGTACCCGTTTCTCCCTGGCACCTCTTCCTAGAGATTTATGAGCATCAGTGAACTCTTGGGTGTATGTGGGTATCCTATGATCCACCTTGCCCCTGCTGTGCTCAGATAACCTCCTCTTAGAAACTTAAGTCTCACTCCCTTTTCCTCCATTTGGGTTCGACTCAGCAGAAACATCTAGCCCTGGCCATGGCAGTGGTGCTGGCCTTTGGGCCAAGTAGAAGCCACATAGGGGTGTCTGCATGGACTTCAGGAGAGAGTAGCTAGAGCTTTGTGTTATAGCCCAGAAATATTATCCAGACCCATGTCTCTGGTTGTTCTGGACTTGGAACATGGATCATCAACATTGGGAAGGATGGCTGTTAGGTAATTTTTTTTTTTTTTT